ATGTTAAAACAGCTTGCAGAAAGTTTCCTCTAAGTGATCACTTGACTTTTAATAGCCGTACTTTTGTACAGGATTTGCTCATAATATGACCTTTATGACACTCAATACTACGTCTACTTGGAGATCAATTAAGCCTAACGATGAAATGGGAGAGGTCATGTTATTGCTCGTTTTAAAATGGGCGTGGCAACAGCACAATCACATTGCCAAATTGTTGTGCCATTTTTCAAGTGATCTATTAATATTCTAACATACTGACTGTGGCCTTCCTAAAAATAGACATCTGAAGTAGGAAAATTAAAAAAAAACGGTGAAAACTCGAATAAGTTGCTGTATCAAGCTGGAAGACATATGGTTTACCCTCGTATTTCAATTGAACAAAACTTCTTCGTACTTTGAGTCTCTAGTGTGTTAAGAGCAAGCGTGCGAATAACTCTTTCAATAGTTTATATTCAATTCGCTTTCAAGGTTTGGCAACAATGATTCCGAGCATTGTCAATAGGTTAAACCTGTAGCGTAAAGGGGGATTGCCTTTCTCCATTTATAACTGAACTGGTCAGCTGAAATTCTGCATTTTTGACTGGTGTCCTGAGCCGTTTTTTAAAGCACCAATTTTAAGTGAATTTTTGTATTTTCCGAGTGATTATCCTTATCTCTTTGACCGGAAAAATTCAAAAGCTTAGACTTTCGTTACCATTGCCATTATGAAGTTTTTCTGTGCAAATAGAAAATGTTTTGGAACTTCTTCTTACATTTGCTAACTTGCGGTAAAGAATGTTTATTTTCTGGAATAGTAACGTCTTTTTTCTGAATATATCAGTCACATGAGTAACAACCTGGCATCTCTAACAATGAGATGACCCTCTAGAACACTAGCTCCAGGGTATCGAGTTCTCTTGCCGGTCAATGGCAATGCCTTTTATTGATGATACACATGTTCTTTTGCTGGATTGATCAACGGTAGGCAAAATTATTCAATAATGCTTGAGGTAGACGTATTGCCTAAGTGATCTTGATGTAAGATAAGATAGTTAATAAATATTAAATAAGAAATTATCTTACTTTTCTTAACACTGTGAGTTGAAATGCTGTATTTCATTTCTTTGGGGCAATTTTTGTGATCCTTAGATTAGTTGCAATAAGAATATGCATAAAACATCAAGACATTCTCACATCTCTTTTAACGATGAATTTCTTATAACGACAAAAAATTCTTCGACGACAATTGGAAACATGATATTAATGCAAAACTATTTTCGAGGATAAAATCTAAATTGATTTCAGAAGAATTCGTTTTCCACAATAGATCTTCATTAGACAGCTAAAACTAGGGACGCTGGAGAGGGGGGCGCGGGGGATCAACCCCCTGTTGCCTTTTGATAGGAGGGGCAAGGGGGGCTAAAATGCCCTTTTCATAGAAGTGCCCTTGACTTCAGCCTTTTGTAGAAAATCCATGAGATTCATATGAAATCCTGAATGTATTGCCTTATTTATGACGACATTTCTCGAAACTTCGAAGAAATTTCTTATGCCAAAATTTAGCCAACTTTTGAGATACCGACAGAAGATCGAAAGAAAATGACAGTTACGAAAGAATTGTTGGTAGCTGGAAATTAATTTTTCAAGTGCTCTTTTACTCAAGCCCGCCTCCCTTGCTTTTTGGTCGTTCCGGCGTCCCTGGCGAATACCACATTTATACAGATCACATGTAAAAACCCTTTACATCAGTACAGTTGAGGTTATTCTGAGATACCTTCTATGCAAAAAAGATATAACGGTAAATTAACGCTATTTTAGAATTTGAGAAGAAATATAATTATGTGCTCAACATTTCTCAAGGCCTTGTCCGACATTTACCATTATTTATTTCGATTAAAACAAGCAAAAATTAAGTTGACTATAAAATCCTTTATAATAATTAAAACTGGAGTAATATTTTGTACAATAGACTAAGGATCTAAAGAGCAAAAATTGATCACAAAGCCTGACTAAGGCCTTTAAACAAGAGATAAAAAATGATGCTCTACAATAAGTATTTTCACATTTACATATTCCTCCCTCTCTTGAATGTCACGAAGCAAGAATTTACATTTTCCTCAGACCCTGTTCCAAGAAAGTGCCAAAAAAGCAAAATAAACAGCCTAGTTTAACTTCAGAAAGCAATCAAGGTGAAAGGAAAAGGAAAATTAGGCTTTGCTAAAGGCCTCATTTACACATTTTCTGTAGTTATACATCAAAAGCTTCACTATCGATTGTCTGTTGCATACTCTTTGGTTCTTTTATGATTCTCGCTTAGAAACTATAACATCAATGAATAGACTTCAAAGCTTGTATTACGTTGGCCTCTTAGATTGTAGCTAATTAATCTTGAAAGTACGCACGATTTCCTAAAGTATTTTACATAAATTTCTTGTTTAACAAAGCAACAAAATGAATAATGGTTTTATATAATAAGTATGAAGAGAAAATTATCATATAGAAAAGCATTGGGATTTGATACCGCTGATATGAAGTAATACCTCGTGTATGTTTTTCCTCAAAATTATGATTTGATCCTTCAAATGTTTGGATATTCCTTATCAATGTCTTTTTATCAAAATAGTTCACCTATCGGCCTTTTCAAAAGTTTAAACCAAACTCACCCAAAATTGTCTCTTCTGGAGAATCTTACAAACCATTCTAAGCTCTCAAGGAAACTGAATTAGAAAGTCAATAACCCACTCAAGTTCCAAGCTGTGTGGTGTAGTGTAGCGTTTTACAAACTATATCTGAAGCAAACTTTATACCTTCGATTGATCTTAAGGGGATGGAAAATAAAAGTGATAGTGATGGCAACTTTGAATTAGCAGCTGAGAGAAGAAAGCAAACAAGATTTAAGAAGAGATAGGAATAAATAGCAAAGAATATACCAAGCAGGTACGAATTGAAAATGTTTGAAAGGTAAGAGGAGGAAGTAATAAATAGTATGTATATTGTTTAAGAGGAGGAAGAGAATTGCAAAGATCAGAGAGCGAAGGGGGATGGAAAATAAGACTGATACAAGGAGCAGAGAAATGAAAAAGATGCGATAAAAAAATAAGAAACAGTCGTGCATTAATGATTGCAACTTTTCGTAGGCAGATGAGAAAAGGAAAGAAAAGATAACATTTAAGAGGAGCAAGTACAACCTCGAAAAAATGTGTGAAAGGTAAAAGGATAGAGTAGCAAATAGTATAGATATTGTTTTTAGAGGAGAAAAAAAGCAGTAAAGACCAGAGAGCTATGTGGGATGAAAAATAAAAGTGATACGCGAGGCAGAAAATTTTAAAAATATAACAAAAATACTAGAAAAAGTTGTGCATTAATGATTGCAACTTTGCATAGACAGATAAGATGCAAAGAGGCAATTTTGATCGAACAATTAGAATTTTCGTTTGAATATAAATTTGTTTTTGTGCCGCAAAAGAAAGCTTTAAAAACAAGAATTTTTCTCATTTTATTTTCTTTGGATATCTGCAAAGTATGGTTTAAACCTCTTTATGGATCAAAGATTGTAGTATAGACAAGGCTTTAGAACCAAACATTTTCTATCGAAATATTGCAATTTTGACAAGCCTATTGACTTTGTTTTTTGACGCAAAAAGAAGCCTTGAAAACCGCACTTTTTCTTACATCATTTGTTTTGGATGTTTGGAAGGTATGGTTTGCAACTCTTTATAGTTCAAAGAGGGCTGTTTACGCAAGGTTTTAGAACAAAAAGGTTTTGATAGTGTAGGCAAGGTTTTGGGCCAAAAAATGTTGACTTAAAAAAATGAATTTTGATAAGCCTATAGACTTGGCTTTTTGACGCAAAAGGAAGCTTTCAAAACTGCAAATTTTCTGATTTTATTTGCTTTGGATATCTTCAATGTAAGGTTTAAAACTCTTGATAGTTTATATAGAGTGGTATATACATGGCTTTTTGAGGGAAAAGCAAACACTTTGTATCGAAAAATTGCAATATTGGTAGGTCTTTAGACTTTGATTTTTAAATAAAATGCAATGCTTCTAATATTAAATGCTTTGGGTGTTTGCAAGGTATTGTTCAAACCTCTTATAGTTAGAATATATAGTTGTGTAGGCAAGGTTGTGAACCAAAAAAATTGATCTAAAGTAGCAATGTTGTTAAGCCTATCGATTTGACTCTTTGATGACAAAAGGAAACGTGATATTAACTGCTTTCAATTTCTTGAAAATATGCTTCAGAGCTCTTTATAGCTCAGAGAGAGTAGTATAGGTTAGATTTTGAAGCCAAATCATTTTGCTTAAAAATGGCAGTCTTTGTAAGCCTATAGACTTGGTGTTTTAAAAAAAATTGAACCTCAAAAACTGCCATTTGTTCTTTTCGCTTTGAATATCTTTAAAAAAAGGTTGAACATTTTTGGACCAAAGACATCTCATTGAAAAATGGCAATTTTGATAAGCCTAATTTTTACGAAATAAAGAACAATAAAAAGCTGTAATGTTTCTTATATTTACTGTTTTGAATGACTGGAAGATATGGTTAAGACCTGTTTATATTTCCGGAAAAAGCGAAGTACTTGAGCTCATTACACAAAACAGTGGTGGTTTTTCAACTTATTTGCGTACGTCGCACATTTTCGTTTCACTTTTTGTACCGTAGATAAATAGATATAAAGCTACAAAATCAATTTAGTGCCAAAATTTTATTTGAATGAAGAATAACGATAATAATGTGATGTGCAAAAATTATGAACGATTTCGCCTTTTATGATATGTGATTTGTTATTTTCCTTTTTGGCTGGAATTACAGAGTACCGTGATTGATTTATTAAATGCCCCTCTGTAACAAGGCCTCATCCCAATAGTCGCCCCTCTCTTGAAAGCCAAACATGTTAATAAATATACGGGCGTTTAAATAACTAAACATAGAGTTAAGACGCTCTTTTGTCATGTCATTGTCGTGTATAAAATACGTTGTTTACGACGATACTTAAAGAAAGAAACAAGAAAAGCTATGCTTTGATGAAAGTTATTTAATTAAAAGAAATTAAGAGGGTCCGTCTACCTTCACCTTTGGCTAGAGTTGATGATATCTTGATTTTGAAATCCAATTGCAATTGCATTATTTATGTTATTCGTTTGCTGGAAAATAAAGAAAATACTTTTAGTTCCAAAGCTAAGGACTCAAACCTTAAGGAGCACCAGAAATATATTTCTTTGTTCTTTTACTTTGATACGATAAATGAGTTTGCACTCTGGCATTTATCGGTCCTAATGAGTTGCAAGTATGGTGACTAGCATCTGATGCTTTGTCTATATTGCTTTACAGATGCTCATACAAGGACAGAAGCAACCAAGGGGGGGGGAGGGAAAGGGGGCGGGCGGCGGCCTTTGCCCCTCCAAAAAACTTAACTAGTATTAGTAAAGTATATCTATTTTGTAAAATATGGCTGTTTCTACACTTATTGATCAGGGCTGGCTTAATCAAGGAATAATCAAGATAGGATCTTCATCATCTCACCTCTCACCCACATGCATCACATGTGTAAGGACATAGAACCCGCACTCGCTCCAAGGTGCATGCTCTGCGCTTGTTCAGGTAAGCACAATTCACTGCTGGATTATCATTGCCTGAAAAATTGTACTCAATTTTAAATCTCTAAGTTGATTTTAGATTCTTAGATATTCTTCAAGTAACAAGTCTTAAAAGATACCAGGATGATAACGACTTAATAGTAGCAAGAAACTTATTTTCCATTGTCTATTTAAGGACGATGAATAGGTAATCTTACTAAAACTTGTTCTTGCACCAAAACCATGTTTTCTCAAAAACTATAAGTTCTATCAGCTAGAAACTTTTCACAAGTAATAGCCAACTACTCTTCAACAAAATGCCATATATTTCATGACGTCAGAATGCGCATGTATAATTTACGGACCAGAAACTCCGGACCAGTAAAAATACTTTAAGAAAGAATTTGAACTGTGGTGAGCTTTCTAAAGACAAATCACCTATGCAATAATGGAACATATAAAAAATACTCCAGGATGAGCAGAGGAAATTGTTGTTATAGCAACCGTTGCTATGGTAACCAAGAAAAAGGCTTTTTTGGCAATTCAAGTCCAAAGATTGTAACCATCAACTTTTCCTCTGCTCATCCTACAAAGCATCTTGAAAGGTACTTATAGACAAAATTTCAGCTTTCTGCCTAATAGGATAAGAAATGAGGCTTTCTCAAAGTTCGAAAAGTAAAAAAGCGGAAAATCTAATTTAAAGTTTTACTTCATCGTTTTAAGAGCTAGAAATAGCATAACAGGTCAAATACATGATTCTAGTGAAAAGTTAGGTATTCTGACCTACTGAGTTCTTGATGCTTAGTAATCTATCCAAGATTTAGCCAGAAAATTATCCAAAAAGTAGTAACGTAAGTTTTCTTCAACGTAAACGCTTCCGTGGTGGTTCTGATGTAAACATTACATCGATGTTTTCTTCAGCAACAAATGTTATTTGAGGCTCTTTTGGTTCTTCTCTGTCTTTCTTGAGAATTACATCTGGCACTTTATGGGTACTGAACCCTCCAGACATATAATGCCTTCCAGCCTTTGTTCCCATCTTCTTAGCTTTTCTTAGAAGGCGCCGCCGGTTCAGGTATGAACTACGAGACTGATTTCCAGCATTCTTTATTCTGGTATCATTTAAGGCACGAAAGCCTCTTGCTGTATGCACACCAAAATGTTCTATCCCCATCTCCTCCAAAACACAACCAGCACCAGCAGCTCCCTGGTTCCACTGGATAACTGATGCTGCAGCTGCAGCATCAAGTTTACGCTTCCCACAGAAAACACGTTTTGGGCACTTTGACCACAAAACATTATTAAGAGACTCATTTTGATTCTGAGTTAACCCTTTTAAACAACGCTTTAGAAGGTCTTCTTTTGATAATCTTTCAAAAATTGGCTTCAGCTCTGACCGAAAAACAGCAGGAAGACATTTGTTTCGATTGTACGTTTTGGTTTTGTTTAGTTGGTCTTGTTGCCATTTGCACCATGACAGAGAGCCTTTAGGGCAAAATCTATGTTGGATTTCCAATGCTTCATTTTCCCCAACAATACTATGAAAATATATTGCCCATACTGCATCTTGTGTCATCTTCAAATTGCCTTTATTTGACCTTATTGCATACCCATAGTAGTTTTGCAATGAGTCTATTGCAACATCTGTCAATCTCCCTCGTCCACCAACACTCACACCATCTGTAAGTTTGCTTGCTTTCATTTTATTTTTGTACATTCTCAAGTTTGACCCCATTCTTTTTTGAATATGCCCAATGCAATCTTCCTTGGTGACTAAATAGTCACTGCCATATTTTTTAAAGCAAGCATCTGCTACCTCACCAAAAGACGAAGAATCACCATCTCCAACATATGTTACATATTTCAACTTATGTTTCTCTATAGACCGAAGGAACATTGTCACTGCTGCACTTTTCTCCATTGCCTCTGATGATTTGTTGTGGTTGATACAACATTTATCCTGATGCTTCGCAAACCAATCTTTATACCTTTGAGAATCTTTGTCCCAGTTTCCTTTTGATCTACATTCGAAACAAATTTTTGACTTCACTTCCAAATCTAGCACCTCCCCTGTCTCAACTGCCAAAACAAAGACAACACCAAGTAAAGATGAATGACCATATCGTTTTTGCCATGTCCCATCTACAGAGACACTGACTGGAAATACATCATCCTCAATGTCTAGGTCTTCATGTGAAGGAGACATCTTTTTCAAAGCTCTTTTCAAATTTTTGGCAGCTTTCTCTAAGGATTTTTCTACAACAGTACTGTAGCACTGCTCAATCTTGTTAATTGTGTCAGAGTAAGCATTTTTCGAAACTGGTGGTGGTAAATTCAATAAAGAGCACAGTTTTTTTAAACTTGTGTGTCCATTTCCTGTCTCTAGACCACCTTGAATAAGGCGAATATTTACCTCTGACCTTCTACCACCATCTTTAACATAATTGCTGGTATGAAAAATAGATGAATTCTGACAGTTTGTGCACAGTAACAAAAGTTCTTCATCAAGCCCTTTACGTGCCAAGTCATTTTGGAAAAGCTCCAATTTTCCTTTTGCTGACCTACATGATGCACATACTGCAGCTGTAGTTAAAATGTTCTGCAAATTTTCAATGGTTACCAGTTTGTTACCATATGCTTTAATATATTGGCTGCTGTTGTGGCCCTCCTTAGCACTACTTGTTGTTGGTGTGGATTTGTTAATTCCCAGCTGAAATCCTTTGGCTCTTGTTATTGTCTCCTCTCTTTCGACCTCCAATAAAGGGCAGTTATTATCAATCTTCTCAAAAGATCTATTTAACTTCTCTGGTGAAGAAGAACTTGCTGGGCCTAAATCTTCCGAATTTGACTCATGTTCCTGTTCTTGTTTCCGTTTACCACTGAACACTCTTTTCCGTTTTTTTCTGTAGATAGTATTCTTTTTTTTCCCAGGCATGACAAACTGAAGAATTTCAACTAGTTTCAAAAAACGCACAAATGTTATTTCAGCGAATAGTAGAAACGTAAAAAGTGAAGCGTGTCAGTGTCCTCTCGAGGCAGTCGGCAATCTTTTCGACAAGTACTTCATGTTATAGGTGCACAAACATAATTCAACTCAATTTATAAACTTATAAAACCCCAAAAACGACAAATTTAGCCCTGGAAAGTCGGTTGACACCCCAATCATTTCCTTAGCAACCACATTTCATGCGTTGCTAGGCAGGGTAGCTATAATAAAACATAGTTTTATAGGTGAAAAGATATTTTTTTGCAAAATAGATATCGAGAACTTAAAACCTAATACTTGAACTACAATTTTATACCAGAAACCCAGATTTGAAGAAAACAAATTTCTTTAACATATTTTACCTATTCATCGTCCTTAAATGAATGAGGACTGGAAAACAGCATTGAAATGGAATTCATTAAAGTCGTCAAAGATCACATTTTAAGAATGTTTCGGAAGATTTTAGCTTCTCCGAAAAGATTTCGCTAGAAAATTGTTTTCATTTTCTGACAAAAAGCAAAAATATAGTTTTTATAATCTGACAAGCAGCTTCATACTAGTTTCAAGCAAGAGGCAGATTATGCTAGAGGAGGGTCATACCAAATAGTTTTCCAATGTTAAAAGCCCGTGCCAATTCAGTAGCTATGTCATTGATAACTTTACTATAATATCTAACTAAAAATTAATAACATCTTCAACTTTTTCTACTCTATTTGTCTACCCCACCTACGTTAATGTCCTAATCAATAGGGGAAGCATTCCTATTTTATAATGCCTTCGTATATAATGCAATTAATAACAAGCTTTGCTGGCAAATGTTGTTTCTATAAACTGTCATACATGGTTTGCAGAATCCACAAGTTTTAGGGCACCAGAGCCTCATGTGTTTCTCGTTGGCTTTGCAAAGACCATCGGCCTTGAACTGCGGACAGTTGTATTGCTGTTTAGGGTGATCAACGCATTGCGGGTGTTCTGTAGAAAAGTAAAGTAAAATCAGCGTTAGCAGAAGAATTTTTCATTCTTTATCTTCTTAGCTGTCTCAGCTATAAATTCTTAGCCTTAAAGGCTCTAAAAACATGAAAAGAAAAATTGCAAATACAAGGCAAGACAAGACAAGAGCTAGGGGAAAGATGGATTTGGCTTTTAAAAATAGATTAAAACTACCTTTTAGAATTAAGCATCCTTAAAAAATTTATCTTCAACATTTTCGCCATCAAAGTGTTTGGTTCTCCGACCGTGAAGATAATTTTTGGGCTTTCGTAAATATTACACAAGATGTTTCTTTAAAGCGTAAACTCGAAAATCTGTGCAAGGTGTTGAAAAGAACGCGTCGCAATTACACACATCCCTTATGTTTACTATTTAAATTGTGCGACTATATCAAAATTTGGATTGATTGATCTTACAAGTTACAGTAAGGGGCTTATTACATGAAGCGGGCTGACCCGGTTGTCATGGCTTGCTCGGTCATACGGGCTGCGACTTCTTAACGATTATATGCAGAACGCAAGCCCGGTCTGAAAATTGGCGGTTAAAATTTTGGCGGGTAAATTGATTTTAAACATGGCTTCAACCTTCAACGCTCGCCGAGAAACGGTTTTCAGCTATAAGGGGTTTGATTTAATAGTTTGGATCTTTTTCATTGTCTTTTCTTGGGCTTCGTGGTTTTATTCATGTCTTTAAGCCCGATAGCGTATATGTTGTTTAAGTCCGTAGCCCGATTTGCCGGGCTGGCCCGGCTTGAATCGATTACAAGGGCAAAAACATTAAATCGCAGCCCGGTTTGCCAAGCTAGCCCGGTAGGAAGATAACGGGATCCCTTCTAACCGTGCTAGCCCGTTCTCCATTTGATTAAAAGTTTGCTAAACACAAAGCATGCTATTGGTACCGGGATCCCACCAAAAATGTTTCTCCTCGGTAAACCGGGCCAGCCCGCTCCATGTAATCAGCCCTAATCTACACTTCTATAATCAAGATAGTATGCCAAAAACGATCATTTATGAATTTGTAAGAGTAAGAGCACAAGGTTATTCTAATAAAAGTGATAGCTTATAAAGTGATCATGAATAATTACAAAATTAACAACAAGGAAATGGAAATAATATACTCGAATATAGATGAATGCAAAATTGATGGAAATTTTGGGGCTGTCTTTGAGAGGGGCAGATAGGAAATCAAACCATTCATTTAATAGCACATCATATCCTCTTTTGTCGCAGATATGACTTTTAAAGATACCACGATGAGCTTCCACGAACATTTGTTCCTATGTGGACAGCATGTCATTGTCTTTCTATTTCATAATAAATCCTTATTTTCATTTTACATTTTCGTTGCATAATTGATAAAAGTGACGATTAATTCAAGTTCTCAAGTTTGGCTAGCCGGCAGACACATTTACCCCATTCAAAGTGTCAATGACGGCTAACGTTCAATCTACTCGTTCAATCTTCAATCTATGTCAACCTCAATCCACACAATTTCAGCACGAAGTAATCAATGTTTATTGAGGGTATTAAGAATGAACCTACTTCCACACATTCGACAGGTTTTCGGGCAGAACGACCGTATTTGCCTGCCTTTGATACGTTCTGGGTGATAGTCAGTGCAGTCCCCTTTGAACATATTGCAAAATGATTCGCTCTGTTTATCTTTACATGCTGAAAAAAATATAAAAAAATGCTCTTTACTCAATTTTAAATGTTGGAAACGTGCTTTAAAGCTAGATTACTTGCCCAGATGTTAATTAATAAACGATTGGGAAACCTTTTTGCGTTGATCCAGGTAGATCGAAATAATCAAACCATTACCTAATTTGCAATGAAGTCTTTAAGAAAACAACATGCATACTAGCCTTGTTCACGTTGCAAGCAAAAAAGGATTGAAATCATTTAAGTATCAATTTTTCAGGAAAACGGCCAGGTAACTTTTTATTGGATTAGATTTTAGGAAGCAGCAATAAAACATCTCACATGTGTGCTGATAAAATGAAAGATATTCAGGCCAAAGTCAATAAACTGTTTCTCAAATAAAAACCTATCATTTTGCGTCAGCTTGTGGTTAAGTTGCGAATTTACTTTCTAGTTAAACGCTTTCTTTAGACAAGTTAATCACCCTGACAGCAACTTCGGTTCTTTAACCAGCTGTATAGCCTCCATAGTAGAAGCACATCATTAACTATGATGGATAGCAACCTAGCCAAACCATGCAAACTATGATGGATAGCATAAGAATCGTACGTGGGCACAGGCACCGCGGAGCATTGACAAAAATTGGGGGGTCTAAAAAAAGTGGGGGGGGGGCTAAAACCGTATAAAAAGAGGTTTTTCTGGAAGTTTGATACTTAATATTTGGCATTTTTTGCAAAAAGTGGGGGGGGGGGCTAAGACCCCCCAGCCCCTCTCCTCCGCGGTGCCTGGGGCAATACCTGTGAATAAAGCTATCGACTTACGTGGGCAATTTTCTCTTCCACTTCCAATAGGAGCAGATGCAGGAGTTGATTTATCCCAGCAGCAACCGAACTGTGTTGACAGACACGGCGGAGGAGCAGGTGCTGTAAATTAAAGAACAATTTGTTATCATTAGCAACACTGCCACAAAAAGACCTTATGCACAAAGATAAATTTATGGGTTTACAACAGAAAAATGTCCAAATCCATACAACAACTTACGGCCTCATTTTGAAAATTTTTTCAAATTCTTTTGTACAATGGTTTTGACCGCAGATTCAGGATGAGAGCAAGCATATTAGTCTACTAGAAAGTTTTCATTATGATATTGCCCAAGATGTATCACAAACAATACGAAAAATTGTATCTAGCCTGAAATTATGTTGATAAAACCAAATCCGAGCTTAAAAATGTCGTACAATGAAGTTTGGAGAAATTTTCAAAACGAGGCCATAAGTCAAATTGGTGTATTGCCATTTTAGTAATCCACAGCGCTTTTCAGTTTGCCATGCCATTCTCGAGATGAAAGGTTTTAGATTTGTTGCTGACACAACCAAAATATGCAATCTGCACGTGCAGTCTATAGAATTCCTTGTCGTTTCAAAACAAATCCAATTTTCCTGGACAGCGACCTCAAAGATGACAGATTTTGTTCCAATGGTCCTTCTCTGAAATACTCATATTACACTAAATAACATAAAATAACTTAGTCGATGATATTTGACTTCACAGCAAATAATTCTTAAGCTAATTAACGGGCAAAAATTTCATGCTTCAAAGAGCATATTAGTGATTTTGAACCGACTTTGACCTTATCGAGACTATTTGCTATCTCCCAAGGCAGTTTTTCATGGTTAACGTCTTCCCTAGTTTGGTTCATGCCTTTGGCTATAAGGCAGCAAGGAATTCTGTATTTTGACGAAACTAATTACTTCATTCCTTGTTACAACATCAAATGACTATTACCAAATTTTAAAGATCTTTGCATTAGCAGTTTGCTTCTGAAACGTTTTCTTGGTATCAATTTCAGGCATTTACTTTTAATCCCAGCCAAAAGTCCTTCCAACACCAGCAAAATTTGCTAATGTTTTGCTTAAAAAAAATTAACTGATTTCGGTAAAAAAAGACCGACACCGCACCCCTCCTCCCCAAAGCAATTTTGTTTCTAAAGTTAAAATTCATAAGTATCTTTCAGGTTAAAAGAAAATGTCCCCATTCTTATGTTCATCTGAAGGAAGATCACTTCCACTTGACTATATAGAGCAACTTACCCTTGCATGAAATAACATTGTTCAGAGGGGTAGAACGGGATGCAGTACATCAATGTCTAAGGGTTTAGCAAAGTGTACCAAAACAATTGGCAGGCACTGTTTGTTAATCATCCTTGTAAAGAGCGTATTTAATAGGTCCGTTGTTCTTGCAGGCACTCTCTTAAAACTTTTTGAAAGGAAAAAGAAAATGCTTAGATCCGTAAAATTCCTCAAAACAAGTCAAAAGCTTTAGTAAAAAATACTATGCATTTACACCATGTAAGGTTTTGTTGAATGCAAAGTAAATATCAACCCAAGTTGTTGTTGATATTTCTATTAATTGCTTTTCAAAGCTTCATCTTTCTTTTGAATTCTTTTGAAACCAAGTGTATTGGAATGTATTGATCTATCACTCTGGTAATACTCTATGTTAATAACAACTTTCCTCATAAAAGCAGTTGAAAAGTATAGATTTTCTTTGCTTGGTACTTTTGTTCTTTTGTTTCTACTGTCCTTATTCACGGTGTCCAAAGATACGATAGCCACATTTTCTAGGGCTTTTTAAACAATTTTATTTACCTTTTCCACAATATTCGCATGTTTTAGGACAATAATGTCTCATCCTCTCCTTGGCAAACTTGACATGGCAAGCTCTTTTTCTTTTCTTGCAAAAGCTCTCACTGAAATCAGCACCTAATAGAAAAATAAAATTTGTTGCTGTAGCAATAAGCTCATGTTTGCTTTTGGGGGCATTCTGGGAGGTGTTAAGGAGAAAGCTCCCCCTCGAGGCATTATTCACGATGGTTCTACTCTAAAAAAATTCTAAAATCTGCAATATGAACTATCACTTTCAGATAAACCACAAATTTCTTTCGTGTTATTTCTAACATATATTTTTCTTAAATGTTTGAAGATCGAATTTAAATCCTTCTTCAACCATCACACAAGAAAATCTTTAACCACCTTTAGTTGTAAATTCATGGATTCTCTTTACTGGATTGTCAATATTGCGATTTCACTGATCTTGCAAAATATATGACTGTCAATGGATTCCATTCAATAGAAGAAAAAAAACTATTGCAATGTTTTTTTGTCGGCATCCTTGTTTTTTTGTCTGATTATCAAGCTACATTTCTCAAGTCAGAATTCATCAAGATAGAAAACGTTTCTGCATCCAACCTGGATATGAATGGCTACTTAAAAAAACCATGCCTAAACACAAACACATTTTGTTTAAATTGAAGCTACGTTTAAACCCTTCTAGCAACTAGTGCCAGGACAGTCAAAATTATATTAAGATGTAAAGTAACAGCAACTTTCTAATCGATATCAGCGGCAAATCTAGCCTTAAAATCTGAAGGGGCTAGCCGTGGGCCAAGTTTGAGTTAGAAAGGCCTTTTCCCTACGCAAAAGGGGCTTACAATAGAATGCAGCTTGGTTTGGGTTTTACTCTGCGCACCCCATCCTAAGAAGTGTTTTCTTGTGAAAAAATATAAATAGCAAACATAGAATAAAAAGGAAAAAAGTGGTTGTCAGGAATGAAATTTTTCTAGTAACTTCAGGAAGAAATCAGAATGTCATTAATGTATGACAATCTCAATTGCAAACCAAAATGGTTATCAGGGATCTGAGCTTGTTAAATAAATGCAATAAAGATCGAATTGAGCAAAATAAAAGAGAGCAATTCCAACAATGGCAAAAAATGAATATGGAAGAAAGCATTAAATTATTAATAGTAACTTTTGCATAAAACTAGGGAGCCAAGCAAGGCCATGAGATTAGGTCGAGATTTTGGCAATATATCTAAGATTCCTTAAACAGTTGCACAACATTGTCAATCTTTTTTTAGGACTTAGGAATTTTTTTAGGACTTTGAAACAAAGAGAAAGTTTCATAACGAAGAAAACCCAAGGCATTATCTACCTTTGATTGCAGAAGGAACAAAAAGAATTTTGAACTTTTGCCTTAGCATTACAATCTGCATGCCTCTTACAATTCAAAAATTATTCCTGTTTAGATACAAGAATGTAATGACATAGCTCGGGGTGAAAGTTCAAACCAAAGAGGATTTGCAACTATATTCTATTAAAAGAATAGAAAAGGCTTGTTTGGGAGTTCAACAGAAAATGGTGGAAATAGAAGAAAAAGCGGACTTCAGTGACATTAACATTTTATTTTTCAAACAGAATCTTATCCCAAAAACTTTAGTATTATCAGAAGTTGAAAATGAAAGTGAAAATGAAAATAAAAACTTTTATTATCAAGCAAACATTTAAATTGGTTATTCATATAATTTTCAATATGAATATTAACTTTAAATCAGGTGGGATTTTTTTAAAACAAAACGTGACAGATTTCAAATTTCAAACAAGGTAAAAAGCAACAAAACAACCAAACTTACAACAGACGAGACATGTTCTGGGACAAAACTTTCTAATCGCTGGCGTGGTGCACGATATCAAGTTATCCAGACATTTCTTTTCATTGGTGTTTGTGCAAGCAGCTGCAAAGAATGAATTATGCAAAAAGTAAACATCTTTATTTTTACTCATCTATGCCATTTTATACTGAACACAGTAGATGAAAGTAAAATAATGTCTGAATGAATAGTAATCTAGAGTTTAAAGTTGGAGAAAGTCTATTTTGCATGCAAATATGCTGTCTCATATATATATATATATATATATATTATTTCTCTCCATGGTTAAAAAGCTGGCAAAAATCAAGAGCTTGGCAGTTGACGATACAAGCATCTATAGGTAGGCAAAGAATTGCTAAAATATCCAGTTGTTTACTATATCAGGGCATTGGTAAGATATTTAGAATATTTTGATGCAAAATGTTTATGTTGTGAATGTTTCTCACTTTATGAAGTCAGCAAATAGTTGCAAAGCTTCACATTAAATCACTAGCTAGAATTAAAATGGGTTCTGTCTTACGCTGATCGTTCTTATCTTCGAGCTCTTGCACATCAGCTTCAAATTCAAGTTCATCGTCCAGGGCTTTCTTGATATCACCCGATGTCTTTGTTGAATCGACTCTTTTTGACTCAGGTTCTGGTTGTAAAAACAAACACAATAAGGTTCTTTTATGTTTCATGTTACACCCAGTGTAAGAAGCCCGATAAAGACTGTCAACAGTGAGAGATTTTCTGAAAAGGTATCCCACTTTCGAAGAAAAGGAAGGACCCGTTCAATTTTTAATTACCCAACGTCCCCTGCAAACGGAGAAATTTTTTCTCCAATCAGCCTTTAGTTCCTTTTAAGGCAAAACATCCCATTTTCTACCATTCCAAGACAAATTTTGCTGCTCCCTGCCATGTTTACCCTCTCTCCTCCGTGAATAAAATTCACACAAGGGCCTGTTACAGAGTGGTGTAGATGTTTCTTGGCGATTACAGGGAGAAAAATAGCTACCAAAAAATTCACGAATCTCCTTTGCATATAACGAAATTTTAAGTTCTCCAGACCATAAAGACCATATTTATGGAAACTGATATATTCATTAATTTTGCTTTAGATGCATTTTATTCTTGAACAGGATACAAATTAACATGCAATTTTGACAACTGAAGCAAACAAATGCTTGTAAAAGAAAAAGAAATAATGCAAAAATATACTAGTCGTATTTTGAGGGGTGGTCAAAAAAGAAAAGATTTGTTTCCATTAGGGCTATTTGCCTTAATTTTTAGGAATTTTCAAACCAGACATAACTTAGTAAAGCGAAAAAAGTAAAAACGGAAAGTTGTTGGGGGAAAGCTTTTCGATTTAATATACTTGCAGTACACCGATTTCATTTCTTCTCTTAGGGCCTGGCCTTAGATATTTCAATTAGTGGAAACTATAGCCCGAAACATTCACGGCTAGAGATAAATAAACAAATACACTTGTTTTTTAAGAGTAAAATTTGAGGATAGCATTTTGAAACACTTTAAAGATTGTGCAAATATCATGACGAAAGATTTGATATCATTAACTCAAATAACATCGAGTTTAAACTCTAAAGAAAGGACGAAATAGATACACCTGCCTCCACTTGAGCTTAAAAGATACGCCCCGACTTGAATATCTGATCTGAGCTTAAATATGTAAACTGTAGAGAATATTTAGACTTCTTTACCCTACTGATAGAAAAATATTGGAAAAATATTTAAAAGTTGAAATATTAAAGGATAAATTATTTCCGAGAAAAAAATAAAACCATATATATATATTTGCAAATAAAATTAAAGACAAACGACAGACGAGAACGTGTGTGTATGCCAATAGATTACATCAATAGGTAAAAATTTGGTCACAATTATGGTCGAAAATAACAAGGTGAAGAAAGTTTGGAAAAGTTGGTAATACTAAATTTGTGGAATCATAGATTTAATTTTGCGTTGGCTTAGTGGCATTTTTGGTGAGTATTCTTTGTTAGGCACGCCAGAGCTGGGGCTGCCCCAGGGCGGGGGGGGGGGGATAAGAACCAGATTTCTTGATTTTCTCATGCAAAAGGCAACGCTCTTGTCTAGAAGTCTGGCTTATTTTAACTTTTAAAAAATATAGTGAAAACAGACCTTGGTAATTATCCACAATGTCTTTCAATTCCTTGAGTACATCGGTAACTAAAAAAAACATACGTAAGAAAATTATCCATAGATGAAAAAACCTTTATTGACTTTTCAAAGGACGAAATCGACGGTCAGGACGACTTCAAATGCATTTTTTACGAGCTACTTTAGAAATATTGTTAAAAGCATAAATTCTGCTGTGCATGTTATATTTACTTAATTCATTTAAATATGTAGTTACTCATTGACTTTTATTCTGTTTTCTCTCTTCCTTTTAATACTGAAATTTTCGATTGCCCTGAGCAGATTTTCGAAGATTCATTGTTGTGTCACGAGAACTGGAACCTCACATAAACATGCAAAGTTTTTATCTTGACATTTGGCAAGTAGTTTTTAATTGTGCTCAAAGAGGGCGTTTTCGGGCACCTTTGTTGATAAAGCACCCTGATATATTTAGGAAGTGATATGCTCCTGGTTTATGTTTAAAGAGCCCAATCAAATTTACTCATTTGCGAATTAAAAATTTTCAATTTACATTAAAATTAGTCTAGCAAATTCATAGTCAACTTCCCTATTTCCTAGGAGGGCTGAGCCCCCAAAATTTTTGTCAGCAGGAGCTTAAGCCCCGGAGCTGCCCCTAAGTTTGCGCCTATGGAAACAGTCCTTTACCGCGTGGCATGTGCACACACAAAATTACTGACGATTTCTACACCCCTGCACCTACTTTGATTGGCTCTTGCAAATACGTCTTCTTCTCGTCTAAGATCTTCTGGAGTAATACCTACGCTAGATGTAAGCTGGAAATTGTTATATCTTTTGGATATCTACGAAGACCTTACCTTTAGTAGAAGGGGATTCGCCAATTCTTTTGCCGTCAGGAAAGAAAGAATTTTATCGGATCAGGTTTTGAATTGCACATGCAAGAATCATTCATAAAAGCTGATTTTCACGAGGCGAATTTCGCAGCGAATTCGCGGCGAAACCGCTGATGAAGGTATCAAGGCATGCGCAGTTTTGATTTTTGATTTCGCAAAAGAAAGTAGAAAAGAGTTCTACTTTTTCGCGGTGAAATATTTCGCAGCACCTAATAACCAGTCAAAACAAAAGTAAATGTTCTTGCTTTGTGAGGAAACAATCTTGGAACATTTGCCATGCGTGCAGTTCTGAAAATGGGCGCCTTAAAGTTGGATTTTGGGGGAAATTAATATATAATTTCGTAGCGAATTCGCAGTCTCGTGGAAATCAAAAGACAATTTCGAAGAGAATTCGCAGCGAATTCGATGCGAAATTGGCCTCGTGGAAATCAGCCTTAAGCTGTTTAGATAGAAGCTGCTTGTAAGAAATTTTATGGTATGACGTACTACAGTAGTTGTTGCTGTTATTGTCATTTAATGTACACGTGAAGTATGCGTTAGAGATGAGATTTGAGTTGAAGTTGAGTAGAGAAGACAGAATTATAACGGATCGAATTTGGAACCTAAGTTAGAATTTACGGAATTATACAGTCCTCTATTGGAATTAGAATTGGAGCCTGAACAATACATCGTTGTCTTTCTTATCCTTTATCTACTATCTGTAGTACTGAGCTTGAGCCACCAGCGTATAAAGCATTTTGTAAAAATATGGGATGCATATGAATTTTGTGGTTTGTCACCAGCGATATGTGTTGGCTGTGACAGAAGATCAAAATCCACTGATGGCAATGCAAGATGCAATCCAAGAAAGAAGTTGCAACGAAACAAAAATATCTATTTTACCACGGCCACTGCTCCGAGGAGATCAGAGGCATGATCCTTGGTCCCCTGAGATAAGCACGCAATACAAGACACTCTTTCACACAAAGAATGTGTAAACATTTTGGAAGGATGCAAGCCCCTCTATGAACAATAGAAACTACAGCCTTGTACGAAACTCGCACGATTCTAAAGATTTGCGAAGATAATCAACTACATGAGTAATCATCAACCAAATGAGGAACTGGTGCATCCTTTAAACTTTTTCATTTTAATAGGTATTCTGGTCTTGTTGGAGTTTCTATATTCGATCAAGCTTCGTATCTAAAATTGTCTATTTCAACCGTTCCGTAATATAAAAGCTTCACATGAACCAGACTGGAAACTTTGCTTCTTGCGCGGGCAAGTTTATTTTGAAAATTTGAGACTGCGCGCCTGAAATCATGCACTCTTAGTTATTTTTATTGTTAATAATGTTAAATCCTATTGTCAAGGTATCTAGGGGGTTTTGCGCGGCCAATATGCAAAAGCGCGCAGAGGTGTGCGCGGGCAATATATTGCGGGCGCGCAGCAAAGTTTCCAGTCTGGCACATGAATAAAGACATAAACAGAAGCTCCAATTTGAATATCAAATAGCTTACTTTTGTTATTTTCTTCAGCGCCAAATAACGGGCAGATTGCGGATGCTGCGATGAGCAAAACAAGCAATTGAACACCTTTCATAATGGCAGTCTTGCTTCTGCTCTTCCTTCTGCTGAACCTGATGCTGCAGACTGCGATGCCGTATTTCAAAGAAGCCACACCTGGACTGCTCTTTTTGTTTTTAAAACTTTCAAATAAAAGGCTAAACGAATTATACCGTATCCGTGCGTTATCAAAAAATCTAATCTGCGAATATCCACCATTAGCGTATTGCATTCAAATAAAAACAATTTCAGGTAGATGCATTTTTTGTAGAAATTCAATGCCTTAGCTTTCAATGAGTAAGCGTGCATTGAAAACATGTCTGATCCCCAAATGAATTATTCACACCCAGGTAAACCTATTGTAAACATGGCTATTTGATAATGTTGAAGGCGTCATTTTCTATAGATGTTCACGAAATCTCGTTTTTTATATATTGCATTAGCAATCATTGCAATCAATGAGATGCATATGCGACATTGGACCGTGATGCATTTCCGGTCTTTCCTTTTGGTTGTTCGCCTTTTAAGGAACCGCCTCGCCACATTGCATGAAAATACCAAGTAAGGACTCTTTTCCAGGACAAGATATGAATACTTTAATCTCTATTGTGAAAATGCAGCATTATTTTTTTCTATAAGTTTGTCATTAAAGAAAAGTACAGTAATAAATGGTTGGTGTGACGTATATTTCCACAGTTGTTGTTGTTGCCAGCATTACACAAGAATGGCTGAAATTTGAAATCGAAACCAAAAATTCTGGTGTATTAGATTGAATCTCAGGGACGTTAGTTGACGGATATTTTTCGGAGGGTAAATGATGCGAAATAACTTTGTACGTAAATTGTAACGCGGAACCTTGAGAGAATTCTCCTCGGTGATATGTTAGATTATTCTCTGACGTAAAAAGCATTGAAATTGTGATTTAGATTGCCAGATTAATTTCAGAAAATTGGGAGCTGTGGATGCAATGCATAAACGGTCCAGGCTTTTTGCTAAACTATAAGAAAGCATTGCCTTCTTGTCACTTGCTGTTATACAATAGACTATCTCAGAGGTCACGACGCCATGACACAAGAGGCGCAAAAAGCCACAATAAATACAATAGCGGCCTATATCATTGAGATTTTTAATTTTCTAAAAGTATTTTCCTCTGTTCTAAAGAGGTTTTGCGGCAAAAAATGGAAGAGCAGCCTTTATCTATCATACATTTTCTCTGGTTCCCCAACTGAGGGATTAGAACTAGCTATAAAACAAAAATATTCCATCATGGCTTCGTGAAATCCAAGATGACCTTTCCCCACAGCTTAATAGTTGCCCAGTCTCCCGCATCCTGCTGGAGATTCCAGCATTTCAAGCTTTTCTCCAGCCGAGCTCCGCAACAGCAAAACCTAGAAAAATCTCCAGCATTCTATGATTTTCAAACATTCTAAATTTACTTTTACATTTTGAGTATTGTCAGTCGTTTTTTCATCCAACCAATAGTATTGTATTTCCTATATTTAGATGCCTCACGGGCTTGCGACCTGCAGTTCCAATCTCCCTTCTTCTCCTGCTGCTTTTCTGTATCGTGTTGCAATTGAAATATTTAAGCTCCTCCGTAGCTACACAGTGCTGCTGTGCAGCATTCAAATCTCCAGAATTTTATTCTCCGAAACTTGGCAACTGTGCAGCTTTTCTACTATTTCACCAACGCAATCCTGAATGCCATTTGTCTTTTCTGATGAAAGTAATAGTGGATACGAATGCGATTGCAAGAAGTGAATGGGAGCACTGCCTTTGCCATTTGGTGAGATCAAATACAACAGTTTTTGGAAGACAACCGAAGACATCATCCGATCAAAGCTTTAGATTACAAGAATAGCTAAACTTTGTAGAGATTTAGAGCAGCACCCTTCATAGGAAACGAGAGCTGCCATAGCATGCACTGTCTTTAAAAATAGTAAATTGAGTAACGTGATAACGATTATTTTTGCATAAACTGAAGACCTTACGTAGATAAAAAGTTAGGCAGGCCTACTTTGTTGCTCAAATTGTACCACGCAATTTTTTGGAAATTCTGTACAGTGTATAAGAATAGAATTTCCTGTAGTTTTACGTCATTCCAGGCTGTTTTGATATTCAAAAAGACATGCACTGACAAATTACTGTTTTATTTTATTCGATTATTTATACTTTGTTTAAGTTTTTAATTGCTTTATAAGAAAAGAAGTTGGCAAGAAACAAATTCAACTATTTTGTACATATTGTTTAACAAAACGTTAATAGGAAAAATCCACCATTTGAATCTTGTCGTACACGAGGGGCAAATCACCGCTTAAAATTATGTACGCTCTCAGAATAATCACACTTTAATCACAAATTAATCACATTTATAAAAAAATTGAATTAATCACAAAATATAACATTGATCACAAAAGCTACTTAAAACAAATATTGGAATCCTTGCCAACTTTTATCCAGATATGTTATTGAAGAAAAAGGCCTCGTTATGATGCCGGGGTCACTGAAACAAACATTGCTGTTGCCCAAATGCCACTGAAGTTGATCTGACCGAAAACCATGCCTGATAACAGGGGCAGATCCAGACATTTCCGGGTTTCGCAGTTGCAACTGATACATCTATGGGAAATGTTTATGTCAGATTTTTTTAATTTCTACAGATAAAGTTTGATAATCAAGTCCCATATTTCTGGAACTTTTAATCTTTTATATCGGTGAAAGTTTCAGGAATGACAGTTCAATTTCCCAATAGCGACATCACTTGCGAGGGCAGAGAACAGAGCACATGCATTTGTCTTAATGTCTTTCACCAGCTGTTTAATAACTGTTCACTGTTTTTTTCATTCTAGGCTATTTGCATCCACGTTGCTAATGCTATTGTTCAGAAAAGATAGCTCTTTTGATGCAAATTCAAATTCTTATGACGAAAGTAGACGGCCCACAGAACAGAGCACATGCATTTGCCTTAACGACTTTTACAAGGTGTTCAACTCTGTTCACTGTTTTTCATTCCAGGCTATTTTCTTCCATGTTGCTAATGCTAATGTTAGGAAAGATAGCTCTTTTGATGCAAATTCAAATTCTTATGAAAAAAGTTGACGGCCCACAGAAAAGAGCACATGCATTTGTCTTAATGACTCATTCAGAGTGATCAACAACCTTTCACTGTTTTTCACTTAAGGCTACTGTCACCAACCTATAATACTGATTTAATATTTTGCTTATGCTGCTGTTTAGAAAAGATATCCCTGTTTTTAGTTGTTAATGTTATTAAATTTTTGCACCTTTTTCGTTTGCAAATCTGCAACGGTCAAATTTTTTTCTGGATCCACCCCTGTGCTGAACTGCTAACTTTTCTTTTTCAATTTCATATAGTATGTTGCAAAATCGTGGACGACGTTTATTGAGCATGAAGCTATTTGAGAGCACTTTTGAATCTATGATTCAATTTCTTAAGAATAAAAAATTAATGAAAAAAAATCAAGTTCTTTTATCACGTGAAATCAAATTAATCACACACAAAATTGATTTAATCACAAATAAATCACTAGTGATTATTTATCTCGTACACCATTTTCAAGAGTGATTTGCCCCTCGGTCGTACACTTTTTAAAATCGTTTTTTGCTGGAGCAAAATTCTAGTACTCTACTTCAACATGTCTACCTTGAACCAGTGTTTCCGTAAAGTATCATAAATTGCCTCTCACTTCCATCATCAAGCTTGCATGGATTGCATCAGTATCTTGAATGCAAAAATATTAATTCATAATGGCAAATTAGGGATTCATCAGACAGATAACTAACATAAATCAAAACAGGCGAGTTAAGACGCAATGAATTTCCAACAAGCAAGAACTTAAAATTTACAATGGTAATCTTGAAAATTAATGATGAATGAAATATTATTTCTTGAAACATGGGTCTAGCGGAGGCTAAACGCTTAAGGGCCAGGGGAGCGAATATTTTTTTCTCATAAAGATGAAATGTAATATAATCTTGTCTTCTGTTTTCTAAATCGTGTCAGCATTCTCAGCTCCTATGCTTGAACGCCTATGTTTTTAAATGTATTCTTAGCTACACTTAAATCCTTTTTGAAAAGTAAATTTTCTCAAAATTCATGACTCCCTTAGTTCCCCAGCTTTTTAAACTCCTTTGCCCCTTTAAGCCCTTTAAGCTTCCTTTAACGAAAGTCAGTGCGAATAATGCTCAAATTCATACTAACGTTTTAAAATTGTAAAGCAATTTTCAATTGAATATCAGCTGTTTTGATACTTTTCAGGGCTATTTGGAAATAAATTGAATCAATAAAATGCTAATAAGTGCAAAACAGAAAAATACGAACCTTTCAACAAAAATTGCAGGTATAAGGACACAAGAATTGCATTTGCTTGGAGAGTCGTTTACAAGCATGATGCTTTTTTAGATATTTGCAATTCGAAGACTTATCAGTACCTGCGAAAAGGACAATTCAATTTTCATTCACCAGATCTCTGTGCAAATGTGTTTTTACAAATTTGTAATCATCACGGTTTTTTTCAAATGTAAAAACACCTTTGAGGATATGTACAAGACTTTCAAATTCCCGAATCTACCCTTTAAGCTATTATTAGACTACGCAATATAGTAATTAACACACTCAAACAAATTTCTTAAGCTACAACCCCTTTATAAGCTAAATCAATTCAGTTTGGCCTTGGACTGGTGTATTTGTGATTATATGGGAGCAGTTAAGTTATGATATCAATTATGCCAAAGAAGACATTTTTATCAAAAGTAGCCTTAAGTAAGCATTCGGTTGCAACGTTTGTTGTGCGATCTTTTTTGCACAAGTAAATAAAGCTGTACAAAACTATTTGTCTTGCGAACACTTAACGATGTTAATTGACAGAAATTAAAATGTTCAGAAATTACAATTTTATAAGGAAAAAAGACTTTCAAGCTTCTACAGAGCTGACAAGCAATCGTACCGAACAGCCTGCCAAGCAGCGCGTTTCTGATTGAGAAAACATCGTGAATAAGCCTTACGTTACCAATTGGATGAGAAACAATTTCGCTATTGTGTAGTCCAAAAATGGGAAATTTACATGGCCAACGAATGGCATCAGGCTATCCTTTGTTGGCCTTTATTGCAGTTTATGGTCTTGTTGCAAAAAGTTTAAAGTTGAGGCCTAAACTGTAAAATATAACCACTTTCCTCTACATTGGCAGGCTAGTTGTATTTCATCAGCATAGGGCTCAAATCTTGATTGGCTGAGAGCTTGCGCTAAATCACGTGACCTCTCTCGCCGCTGAGCCAATCACAGCCTCGGAAAGTGTAAACAAGTTCCTATATGTTTGTTACTTAGTTGTATGTTCATTTCATTTTGTAAACCGGCAGCCTATCGGTATATAAACAGTGTTGAATTCATATATGTAATGTTTATTTACTTGTTATTAACCTTATTCGCGGGAAGATCATTTCATAGGAAGATAGAAGTTGGAAAATTTCCTCTACATTGGCAGGCTAGTTGTATTTCATCAGGCAATTTTTTATTTGAATATTGCTTATGTTTTCAAGTGAACTGTTACCCTTCAAGCTGCCTTCGGTTAAATGAAATAAACTTTTAAAAAAGGTACTTACACGGTTTACAAAACTTGCATGTGTAAGGACACCAGAGTTTCATGAGTTTTGTGTTCTTTGTACAAAGACCTTCATCCTTGTATTGCGGGCATAAGTGTGCCTGCCTACGATCATCCATGCACAATTGCTTGTCTGCAGATAGGCCAACATTTTTGACAACAACAATTGTTAACATTCAAGACTTAAATTGAAAGTTTCGTAGAAATAGAAACATAAAAAGTGCTGTCAGGAATAACTTGCCGAAATTGAGAAAATGATTTTTGTTTGTATTGGCAAATTTTACAAAAAAAAAGCAAATTTAACAAACTTGCCATTTAATTTATCTCTTACAATATTATGATCAATTAATCGAATTTCGATGAATACCATCAAAAATGGAGTGTTGTATTTCTTTACTTGTGCAACCCATCTTTAATGTTGTGAAAGGCCGAGTCCGTGGGACAGCCTGGATAAAAGTTGAAAAACCCTCTTCAGCAATTCTTTATCGAAACTCCCCATTTTTTAGATGTTTGAAAGTAATAGCTGTTGCCTTGCTTACCTCCACACACTCTGCATGTTTCTGGGCAGAATCCTCTGATCTGCTTTCCTTTAATGTGAGCCGGGTGAAAATCGAAACAGTCAATTTTAAAATGGTTGCAGAAGGCTGAACTCTGTTTGTCTTGGCAGGCTATAGAATAAAAAACTCAAAAATGATTTTCACCTACGCTTTAGTAAAATTGCTTTGCAAAATTTGTACTAAAGATGTCAAATAGTATGAAATCCTATATTCAAAAATACTCCGCCAAGACAACCATTTTGTAACTTGTTAAGATACGTGGCGAAGAAGAGGAAGTTATGCAATCTTGCTAGAACTCACTTTTATGTAACCAATGATCAATTTTACACAACTTGTTTTTTTAAGTCTAGTTTTGACTTTAACGTGCAACCCAAAGACGTGTAAAGATTTATTCGGGGGCGCAAATGAAGGGGTGTCACACCCCACAATAATTTCACCACCCGGTCCCAGTTGAAATTTGATAGCAATAAAGGCGATCCTGATCTAGTCATGTGCTTATTATTTCTGTCTATCACACCCAACATTGGTCCCAATTCTGCTGGTACCATGCTGTATGCATTTCAGTAAGGCGTATAGTGGACTAACAAGTGGACTTACTGTACTGCAATCATACTGTACGATAAAGTCGGTCCCGATCTATTTCGCAAAAATCGGTCTGTCGTGGCGAAAACTCGGTCTCTTCAAAGAACACCCCTCTAAAAAATTTGCATTTGTGCCCCTGGACCTATTGTTAATGTTATGAAGGTTCCTTCACTACAACAACAACAAAGGTGTAACTTTAGATCGTTGTCCAAACAGTTCCATTTGAAAATTTAAAAACTGTTTTTTTGCCTGATAGTGTTGATATATTCTGGAATATATTGCTTGCTATTTTTGAAGGTTTTTTTCATTTAATCATTTGATGAAAACAAAGTGAATGCATATGTTGATACTGTCTCCTTTACTTTTGATTCTGCAGACAATCGAAGCAGTTGAAATTGAATTTAAAATTAAGTTCTGATAACATTCGATTTAAGCCAATTTTGTAGCTATCTCAGCTCTTGCACTGTATGAATAAGATCTATATACAGTATCTAAGTATTTTGCAGGACAAGAATAGATATCAAAATCTAGATAAGCCTGGTATTTAGTTTTTTGCTTGCTTCTGAACATCATTTAATGTTATTTCGCTGAAGATTGTAGGCCGAAAAGTCTATGTTATATGACAAGCTAAAGTGCTTTGCGTGGCCGTGACGAGAGGCAACGGTGCTACCTAATACACCACAGGAGCGACTTATTTTATTTGTGTTTCAAGGACTATAAGTCAACTGCAACTTATGTTATCCACTTTAGCTTGTTATATTGTGTAGACATGAACTTACGTGGGCAACTATCTTCGCCACTACCAATCGGACTCAAAGCGGGCGTTGATTTGTCCCAACAGCAACCATATTTGCTGTCCAAACACGGCGGAGGAGCAAAGGCTTGATGAAAGGTAAATTTGTATATTAGATGACGTAGTGAATATATAATTTGGTGTTAATTCGATGTTTGCATTGCTCTTTAGTAAAAAAAACTTGGTTTGCAATTGACCCATGGTTCCATCTTTAGTCCTATTGTTTTTATTCTCAATATTATGACATAATAATTTTGCTTTCTTGTTCTTGTATTTTAATCTCATACTTAATATTAAGTGTTAATGTAAAGTTTAATTTCTAGTTTAATTTTTGAAAAAATAAGGCCAAAAAGTGTCTTACGTTCAAGTTGCGATATTGACTATGAATATTGAAAACTCTTTTAGGACAAGATGGAATTGAGGGTATCGTTGTTTCGGTAAGTGTAAAGTGCCATATAAAAACGATCCTCTTCTTCTGCCCATTGCACTGCCTTTCTTTTGATGTGCTAAACTATCAATTATTGATTCCTGTCCTTGATATTTCTTGCATGATGAAGAAGTGCAAATGACATATGAGGTAAAGCTTCAATACCTTGCATAGGTCTTTTGGGGCATGCCCTTTTCCTTTGAAACATGCTGAATATTGGCAGGTTTTAAAGATTGCTAGAACTTCAGAGCAAGAACTTTGGAGTCGTGTTGCGTCATTGAAAGTCCTTTGGAGTCGTGTACTTAAAAACTGACAATGATGTCTGTAATTTCTTACCCGGAACAATTTAATTTTTGCTGAAATTTTTTCTTTAGGTTTCTTAAAGCTCTTGCAGCATAAGATTAGAGCAGTACGTTCCAAACGCTACTGCTGGATTTCTGAAAATTCTAGACCTTATAATGGAATTGGGTTGATGCCTTATAATGATGCAAGTTTGCAAATTATCGAAAGAAGTAAATTAAAACACCTTTTCCACAATATTCACATGTCTCTGGGCAAAAGTACCTCAATTTCATTTTAAGGTAAGAGTGAAAGCATAAGAATTTCCTTGACTTGCATGCAGCTGTAAGATCAGCACCTAGTAGAAAAAAGAACGCGGTAATATGAGATAATTTGAGACTTATATTAATCAAAAGTGAATTTAAGGAACTGAATAGAAATATCAGAAAAGGAATAGACATTTATTTTCTAGTTTTCATTTTGTTTATTGTGTCAAAATAAAAGGGGACAGAGTATGCAGCACACATGGCATATAAGAAAGAAGTGATGTAAATCGTAAGGAGTTTTAGGGTGGGAAAGAAAACATATCTGCTCAACAGCTATGCAGCTTGTAGTTCATCATCCTACAAGCCACAACTTATTTCGAGGCATCTCATCCTCTCTGTAAAAGTCTCTGTAAAAGACTATTTTCGCTCGTCTCAAACTTTAAAGAATATTGAACTTAAGCTTGTTTCTGGTCTGGTGCTATTCAAATTCTTCATTCTTTCTAACAACTTAAATTGATAATAGGAAGAGTTTTCTCTACCATCAGGAAGTAATTACATTTATGTGTTGGCCACTGAAACGATAGCGCCTGTATGTTAATAATTATCTTTGATCTGTGGTCTTATATTGACAAGTCACATGATGCTCGACAGTAGATTAAAATCATGGAGAATATTTATACATGTTCAATAAAAACTTTGTTTTAAATCGGGCTTATTACTAGAAAAAGCCAACATGGGTAAGGTTCAACGCAAGACCCAACTGTCACGCAAGAATCAACGAGGTATCGAGTAACGAAGGTCAAATTTGCAGCCTTATCAGCATTTACTGATGCGTTTTTACAACAGCTCGAGAAATCTGGTTTTTCGCAACCTTTTTCCAGTGAAGGATGCGAAACGAATTCATTTTCAAGTACCAATCAAATGGTTTTTGTTTCAAATGATAGATGGGTCATCGGATGGAACAAAAACGTGTCTCAGTTTTTAAAGGGGCCAGATTTCAAAGGCTTAAGAGCTTATGGACGCGCATATGATACAAAACAACTTGTTAAATTAAACGCTGGTTGACTGTAAATGGTTGACCATAATTTTACCTCTCCTCTGAAAAACAACTTTGATCTTTAAAATTCTTTCACAGAAAAACGAAAATAGGACTGGGATTTCTACGTTAGGAAAGTTTTACGTTTGGGATTTCTACGTTTTCGAATATTCAAGTTTTAACTTGAAAGAATATTCAAGTTTTAGTACATAATCCAGCCATTGCGAAGAAATCACCTATCTTACAATCATAGCTCTTCTGGGCTAAAATTCGGGTCGGATAATATTTTAGGCGATGATAATATTTATGCCATTGTAACTTTCACTCACAGCAAACCAAACAAGATCTTTGGCAGCCCTTCCGAATGTGCTTATATCTGCACGAACCATTTTTTACAGCCCTAAAGCAGTAACTACTTGGTTTTTTGTCTTCACATTTTCCTAGAAATTGAAAACATACTATTCAGCAATGGGAATGATAAAAAACAAGCTTGACCTTGAATGAATGGTAAATTGTGACACAGGAAATTTAAAGTAATTTAATGGCAGCGACTTCTTGAAAGCTACGCTACGCTATGCTACGCTATGCTACGCTATGCTATGCTATGCTATGCTATGCTATGCTATGCTATGCTACGCTATGCTATGCTATGCTATGCTATGCTACGCTATGCTATGCTATGCTATGCTATGCTACTGCTATGCTATGCTATGCTACTGCTATGCTATGCTACGCTATGCTATGCTATGCTATGCTATGCTATGCTATGCTATGCTATGCTACGCTTTGCTATGCTATGCTATGCTATGCTATGCTATGCTATGCTATGCTATGCTATGCTATGCTATGCTATGCTATGCTATGCTATGCTATGCTATGCTATGCTATGCTATGCTATGCTATGCTATGCTATGCTATGCTATGCTATGCTATGCTATGCTATGCTATGCTATGCTATGCTATGCTATGCTATGCTATGCTATGCTATGCTATGCTATGCTATGCTATGCTATGCTTTTTTGTTGCTATGAAGTATATTTATTATTATGACATTTTTAAAGCTAGGGGCGTCACCAAAAGGGGTATAGGGGCCCCCAATACTTTGTCCGTCGGCAACGGGATCTTTTATCGGGCCAGAGAAGAAATTCGTCTTCTCACACTGTAGTATAATTGCAACCTTTGTGCTACAGTTGTAACGTATTGACATTTCTGTAGCAGCTGACCTTTCAAAGTATGGCACTAGAAACACGCAAAATTGAATTTTTCGAATACTCAAAATTGAAATAGAAATAAATAAAAGCATCATATAAAATAATTTATCTTATGGCCACACCCTAAAAGAATGTAGCATGCCCTTTTTGTTGGCAAAACCACTTCTGTATCCTTCCAAAAATAATTTTTGGCTACACTCCTATTTGAAGCAATTTATGTTGAGCATTATTTTTATGATGACGCAACAAATAAAAAGTGACATGGAAAAATTTAAGTGCTTTACAAACAGCAAAAGATTCGAACAAGTACTTTGTTAACAATGTAAGCTTTCCAAAATTTTAAAAAAGATTCTCGTGACCTTGCTCTTGTTTAGAACGCTTTATCTTGTTATTGGGAAGAACCCTTTTATGTTTTGCTCGGTATGAACTTCTTTAAAGCGATGTAAATGATTTAACGCCCAGAAATAAACATATTTTGCAAACGTATTTCTTTAAAATGAACAAACTTTCTATTCAATAAGGCATTTCATTCATAAACCAAACTAACCTGGTTGCGCCAGCATAAACTTCGTCCAAAACGCCAGCAGTATAAACATTATCCAAAGGTGGAGTTTTTCCATCACCAGTCTTCAAGCTTTTTAACAAGCACTGTTGTATGGCTTAAAGGAAACAAAGCTTACTTTGTGAATGCAAATCATTACAAACTAATAGTCACCTCAGTCTATACGTAGTCATCGAAAGTTGCTCGTACTTCTGTTGTTTAGCCTATGTTCAACCACTTTCTGCTATATTTGATAAGATCAATGTAGCTCAAAATGTAACTCACTTCTCACGAAAATATGGAAAACTTTAGTGATTAAAATTTCAAAATTCCCTATTTAATAGTTTCTAAGTGAACCAAAACAAAAGTGATGTTAGCTACATCGAAAAATATTGCACCAATTTGACAAGCGAGTATTGGCGATAGAGTTGTAAACATGGCCTATCATCATAGCTCAATTTTCGTGCTTTAGCAACGGTCGATACGGCTTGAAGTTAAGAAAAAATCAAGTATGTTTTCTTTATTTTCATTTTTATTACTATACCCATGTGAATTTTTCGTTATTTTACACCTAAAAAGTCAGCTTAGAACATCTATTTAACTTACAGCTATTTGAACTTTGGTTAGCTAAAAAAAATTTGATGGCAGGGCTGCCGTTTGGGATTGGTGCAGTATTTTTCGAACGTAAGTGTAGCTAACTCGAGCCCCGCCCCTGTATAACTTCTACACTCGTTAAGACGAATAATTTCCATCATACCTGTAGAATACTTTACCATTTTTGGCACTTCCAAGTTTGTGTGTGAAGTCTTTGAAACTTTTATATCCTTGACCTAATTTGTCATGATGAAATAATATACACCAAAAAGGCTAAATAGTACCGTACACGAATTGCAAACAATTTGCGACAAAAATTCACAGAACTACTAACTTGGAATCAAATCACTAAGCTTTCAAGGGGATAAAGGTAGATGTTGCCTTGTTCCTGACATTGAGACAGCCAAAAACATATAACATTCAACATGTTTCATCAGTAAAATGTTCCTTGCGTGTATATGCTTCTGCTTTTTCTAGAGCAATTAATGTTTGAATAAAATCTCTGGAATTGCTTAATGCTTTTCTCAATTAGCATGATCATTATTGTCAAAACTAGCAACGTTTCTGTTGAACTAGCAGTAAACACGTGTTAAACCTTTACGGGTTTCAGCTGTCTAAGGACTGCAAGAACGCCAGTCTATGTTAGGTTCAATCTGTGCATACGGTGGCGTTAGGCAGCCTACTTTCTCTAGGATATAAGCAAAAAAAATGATTGGTAATTTTCAAAAGTTTGTAAAAGATACATGTTTGCATCTCACCTTGGTTCACTAGCTTGAGATCTTGTTCAAATTTCTCTGGGCGTTTGCATGAAAACAATCTAAAACTCTCAGGGAATTCGAAAACTAAACGTGAAGGGCGTAAGTATATTTTCCAATATATATAAGCCAATCTGTACATAAATTTGCATACATAGGCGAATTGCGCATTATTATGTATTTTCATTACAGTCTTTTTATAATGTGATGTTCTTTAGCATATTTTAACATTTGACATTAAACGCACTCGTACCACAGATACCTGTCTTGTGTATTGCGTTAAAGTAAGCCGAAGTCTTCCTGAAACTGAACAAATTAATACAGTCATTAAATGAAGTGATATAGCATCTAAATTAAGAAAAGTTTATTTGCTTATATAGGAATAACTTGATAACTGTAGTTACCTTAAGATCGCCTACAGACATATCTGTATTTAGATACTTTGAGCTTTGTTGGATGACTGGAATACTTCTATTAGACAGTGCAAGAGCTCCTCTTCTTTGCTAATTTAAACAAGGTGCAAGCAGAATTTTCAAAAGAGAAGCGAACGCCCTGACCAGGTTCTCCTTATATGTCAGTGGAGGTCTGAAAACTGCTTCCACCCCTTCTCTATCTTTGTAATAAACGGGCTAAGGTTGTGACTTTTACTTACAAAGAAGAAGATCAGATAAAACTGCCTGTGCGCAGTTTTTTTATCCCTGAACTGCTATGGTTGTGCTAAAATCCTATTTCAATGAAATGTTAAAAAACAACTTCCTATTTTTTGGAACCTTATCAACCGACTTATCAAAAGTGGAAACAGAATTGATTTATAAAGTTTTCGTGGTTGATATACAAAATTCCACTCCCTTTTTTTATTGATAATAATGGTTTACTCTATGCAAAATTCTCTAAAAATGCAAAATTTATCTGATAATGGTTTCATCTTCAACTGCTGCATCTGTCAAAAGTTTAACCTAGCGCAATATTACTGTGGTTAAATTTTTGAAAATTTCTTTTGGAGAAGTCCATTTTAAGAATGGATAAAAAATCTTTAGCATTATTTCTACAAATATTTGTGGTTATACGATTTGTTGTTATTCAGATACACTGGGAAAATACAATGTGGGTAATAATATTATGACAACAATAAAAAAGAACCCAAAGTCCACTTTTCTCCAAAAAAATTATCGTCGGCATTGTCGTTTCGATGAAAAATAAGAGATCTTAATTTGAACAAATTTATGGAAGCTTTTCTTGATAACAGTTTTGTTGACAGTCTATTGCTAAACTTTTGAAGCTTTGTTCAGTATGCTTTTGAAGGTTAGTTAAGTATCAAACCATATAAACCGGTACTCTTTTTGATCAAGCATAATGTAGCAATTAACACAATGCATTTATCTGTGTATTGGAATATTTGGGAAGGACAAAGCTTGTGGGCAGGGGTAGTGAAAGAAAAGATTGTCTGTCATCTGGACAATTTATTTTTGGAATCTTTCTTGCGTTCTAATGTTATGCGTGGAATTATTCTATCTGGTATTTGACGTTTCTTTAGAACATAGGACACCGCCCCTTCCGAGCTGTTGTCATTAGCGAAGCGACCCTTGTTAAATGAACGTCAAATCTCAGTTGACACATGACTGACGAGCAAAAGCTTATTGGCAAAAATCCTATTAAAAGTCGGGTTTTGATAACTGGATGTAATATCAATGCAGTCACCATAACAAGCTAAAGGTAAAACGATTATATACTCAAAAGGCCTAAAATTTTATTGTAATATCGTGTCAACATGTAAACAAGATAGATGTCAAATGTTTACCATCAAGAAATATGTAAACAAGATAAAGAAACAGATTTTACTACAAGACAAAAATGATAAAAAAAGGCCACGAGAGGCCTTGGAGGGAGCACCCTGGTTAGTACAGAGAAGTAGCCGTTTCTACTTCTTTGTTACTTCATTTTGATGGTTTTTTGTAAAGGCTGCCTTGTTCTTTTCATAGCACAGCATCTTTGAGAAAAGCTATTTAGATCTGTTCTCAAAAAGGCAGTCAACATTTCTATCTCATATTTCTAGTGTTATTAATCTAATAATTTTAGGTCAACAAGGGAGAACACACTGTTAAGTTAAGTTGCTACAAGCAATGTACATTCCACAAACCCTGTATCAAGCAAAAAGCTGTAAAATATATTCATAGATTAACTAAATATTGCGCTTGTTTCAAAATTGTTTCTATCTTTCAAGACGACATTAGAAATTAGCCAAACAATTGATGATAACAATCTTACTTGTAGTATCAAAACCACGACTGGGGCACCAATACTTGCTTCACAAATATGGCCTCAAAGTATTTTACAGTTTTACAGCATCTTTGAGAAAAGCTATTTAGATCTGTTCTCAAAAAGGCAGTCAACATTTCTATCTCATATTTCTAGTGTTATTAATCTAATAATTTTAGGTCAACAAGGGAGAACACACTGTTAAGTTAAGTTGCTACAAGCAATGTACATTCCACAAACCCTGTATCAAGCAAAAAGCTGTAAAATATATTCATAGATTAACTAAATATTGCGCTTGTTTCAAAATTGTTTCTATCTTTCAAGACGACATTAGAAATTAGCCAAACAATTGATGATAACAATCTTACTTGTAGTATCAAAACCACGACTGGGGCACCAATACTTGCTTCACAAATATGGCCTCAAAGTATTTTACAGTTTTATACATTGAGAGCTACAATTTATTAAGAAATCGTTTTCATAAATTTCAGCGAACTTGGTATCAATGATAATAATAATAGTAATAATAATAACAATAATGGACACTTTTAATTTTGAATTCCAGTTGAAACTACAATTACAAACCTCACCATTACAAGGTAATTTGTAACTGGCTAGCCTGTTCTTACAAAATAAAACTATTACAATCGTAGTAATGCGAAAAGAAAAAAAATTTGAAAAGGGAGTGGCTCTGGATTATCTGTTGATGATCAATGAACAAAGAGTCACACATGTCGATGAATGAGCTGCAACAGGGGCGTGCTGGGGACGAGATCGCAGGGGGGGGCAAAAGGTCAAAATGGCGCCCCACATATCTACCAATTTTCCTTCAAAGTGTTGGAAACGTGCAGAAAAGTACAAGAGTTCGGAAGCACGCCGAACTATATCTATCTATCTATGGGGTACTGTAAGAGCTTCAAATGAGGGGAGAGGGGGTAGGCAATTACTGACAGGACGTGATAAAGAATTTTCAACTAGAGTATGTTATTCTTTGTAAAAACGGTTTAGAGCATGCGGAGAAATGGTACGAGCATGCACCTGAAAGTGTTATGGAAAATGAAAAATGTAAAATATTATGGGACTTCACAATTCAAACTGGTCGTGTGATCGATGCTAGGAGACCTGTTTTACCTCCCGCTAGTTTACCTTTCTGGTGCCCCTTCACCAAGGCCTTAAAGATTAGCCACAAAAAACATTGCCATGCCCGGAAAGTTTTTGTCGTGACGGCTTCTTTCTCTATGGAGAAACTTAATCCTTCTTAATTCTTCTGACATTTAGAATTTGTACCATCATTTTCCCTCCATTTCACATAATGTTTTGATGGATTTTGATGAGAAATTTGAATGAATAAAGTGCAAGAGGTCTCCCAGTATTATTTAAAAAGACAAAACTAACATAACACAAATCTTTGCTCATTATCTCTGCTTGTTAAGCTAGTTTTAAGTCCTTTCATTCATATATTCATGTATTTTGAGTTTTCTACACCATAACGATTCGTTGACCTTTGTATTGATGCAAAGCGCATTCAAAAATTACTTTTGCTACAT